ACAATAGTTTTTAAAACAACCCATCCTGACACAACCCCACTCAGACAAACACTAATTTGGTTCTTACATACTAAGGGATGAGAGTTGAAAACAATCATCTTTGTTTTCTACAACTAAGCTATTATGTTTCTACAAGAACAGAGCATTTTATATCCACATTTAAGTACACCCAGCAATTCATAACATATAATACCCTAAAATCTGAGCAAAGACACTTCGGGCAGCAGCATCTGCAGGTGTTGCGTGACATGACGGTGAGTTATGTCTGTGAGAGCTAAGTGCACACATTAAGTGTTCAGGACCAAGGCTGCAAGGATGCTGTGCTCTCCAAGGAAACGCTTTGAGTTGTGATGGGTTTGATTCTGAGTTAGGTTTTGATCACTGTACGTTTTGTTTTCCTGTCTCCTACCCCATATTTAGTAGTGTGACCCCCATATATGAGCATGTCTCTGTTTAAGAAGCAGTGCTCTACTAAGTGTGTCTCCAATCCAGAACTCAGCTGACCATTACAGGCACTGTGGGCATCCCAGCAATGCCACTGCTAGGGAGATGTGAATCAGGCCAGGCTCTGTCCCTGCTAACCAGCAAGTCTTTATCAACTACTGTGTGACAGGCTCAGGGTTGGACTTACATTAGTGAATACAACCAGGACCTACTTCCTGGTAGCATCAGGATATAGACAGCGTTAGAAGTGGTGAGATGGAAGGCCTAAAGTTCTCTTCTGTCTGCAATGCAGCACCTCTGCCTTCTTTAAAAATTTGAAATCCTAAGGCCAAAACCAAGGGCTGAGAGCTCGCCCTTTCTTTCTGTTTCTTCGTTAAAAAGCACACAAATACTAGAGATGAAACTAATTCTGTGAAATTACTCATTAAATTTTGCAAGAAAGATCAACTGGCTGGAATTTTTTATAATTGCCAAATGTGCCCGGGGCTCTTTTAATACACCATTCTTAAGCTTTGTGTGGAGAATGACAGGAAAGAAAAGGTATCGAGATATCAAGGGAAACATGGGCAGTCAAAGGCTCCGTTTTTTCATTTTTTTTTTTTAAGATTGAAAATTTAAACTGCAATCCGCATTAACTGGGTCACATATTAACCTTCTGCTGAGAGGCCTGAGGGACGAGCCGACCTCCAGCTTCCTCCCAGGTTTCATTATCTACAATCTGTCTTTGCAACTCCAACTAGGTATCAGGTGAATTAAGGGGAAAACCAATTTGTACATCCCTTGGATGTGATGAAATTGATTATCCCCAGGCAGAGCAAAGAAGACTGGGAATAGGCAGCACTGCTTCGCATTTGTGCGTCTGTCCTGCCCTGATATCTGTTTATTTCTACGAGTTACTGACAATGTTTCTGTTCCATACAAAGAAGCTCCCCACCCCCGACGTTGACTTCAAAAGTAGAAACAGGAAGCATCCGTTTCTAGGGAAACCTGAGGTTGGAAGCTCTTCACTTTTCGGATCGCAGAGCACATGCCTACACAAATGGTGGTCTATTGTATGGTGACAGCCCTTCCTCCTCATTTACCTCATCCCATTTACAAAAATTAATGTGACAATGGGAGATGGTTGTTGATGCTCATTATTAAATCATTTATTCATCCCACACAACGATTCAGAATTGTTCATTAAACTTACTGGAAGGAAGCAAGGTTTTATCTCCACAGTGGCTTGGGGAGGGATGTATTCTTTAAAAGGATATTTTATAACAACACAATTATCATAATTAAAAGCTACCCTGATCATCTGATGGGCCTCTGACATATTTTTGAGCACTGGCATTTCAGCACAAGGAGAAAAACGAGGCTGAAATAGTAGTAGGAAATAATATTGCTGTGGGGACAAAAGTTAGAGGCAACATTAAATGCCACCTGCCACCAGCACCCCAGCGTTATCAAGGTCTTCAGGTTATCACTGGATGTCTGCTTTCCAAAGTGGGTTCAAGTTCTATTGCTGTGACTTCAGCCACTGTCCACATTCCTGTGTGGTCAGTGGCAGTCCTGCCCTGCCCCCAACACACATACATACAGGGCCTGCCACCCAAGCCTCCCAACCCTCAAGTGGCACGAGCAACCACAGCCGCTTTCTCCACACCTGAACTTCATGCAACTTCAGATGTTGCCCATATTTATTTTGTGTCTGAAGGTCTGGCTTAGCATGCCATGGAAACCTACAGTAGAAGGGGCTTCGATCTCTCTAGGTTTCTTTTGATGAAGTAGATTTATGTGAGGATCCTAAGGCTAGGGGAAAAGAAGGATTGGGGGAGAAACAGATTGCTGAGTGACCTAGAAGACAGGCAGATGGATGAGGAAAGACAAAGGCCATGCACTCTACAATGTAGAGGGCACAGGATGTGGGACAGACAACCTGAGCTACAGTCTTCTTGGTATGTGCTTGTCCCAGTGTGTGTCCTGGACACCACTGAGCTTTGTCAGCTGGCTGTTGAGGGCTGGCATGAGTTAACTCAGTGCACATCACAGAGATCTTGTGAGCAGAGCCCTGAGTCAGACCTAAAAGCAGAGCAGATGGACAGTGTCTCTGCCTTCAAGGAGCTGACAGTCTAGTGAGAGACTCAAACATGTCAACACTTGCAAATCCAATTGACAACTATGACCAGGAGGGGAAAAGAGCTTTATACCAAAAAGGTAAAAACTGAGTGAGTCGGTCTCACAACCAGAGCAGAAGGAAAGGATTTCTCGGAAGAGCAAGCTGAAGGCCTGGACCTTGTGCTGGGGTAGGAGAGTGCATGGAGGGTCTGGCTAGAGACGCTTCAATATGAAGGAGGCAGAAAAAAGGCCCCAAAAGAACACAGGCCTGCCAGGCAAGGAGGAGCCTACTGGACCCAGAGCCCGTAGGATGCCAGGGTCTAATACCATCAAGAATGGAAAACACCACCAAGGTGAACTCCCGTTCTGCTTCATGTTTACACGCCAACTTCTGGATCGTAATTTGGCTTCCCATTTAGTTCTGCCTAGGAGCAGGGGCTGCATGGACCAACCAGCTGTGGATATCAACCTTCACAGGATGGGCCCTCAGGATTCACCTCAGAAGCACACACAGTCCTCAGTGGATGTGTTGACAAGAAACCTGGTCCAGAATCTGCTACAGCTGTTGTGTCCAATAGGCCCACCCTCTGTGCTCTGGGTGGGCTTATCACACTTTCTCCATGGGGACCCTGTTAACACTTGAGGACCCTCTCATCATCTGGACATTCTCGCAGATGGCATGTGCTCTGTCCTGGTAGGGGCAGCCCAGACCCTCGTGTGTTGGGAGCTGACTCCTAGCAGAAAGCAGTTATCTTTGCAGCCATCTCAGGCCATATACCCTGACAAGAGACTTGTTTTTCAACAGCCCACAACAGCTGAGCACACTCTGATAAACATCTTGTTTTTCTCACATATCTTGTTTTGTTGTTTAGTGCCCCCAGCTGCAGGGTGCACGTGGTCTCCATGCTGCAAGGCACGTGGCAAAGTGCCTTCAGCTGTGTTCCCCTGCTTGTCCTCGAGGGCAAGGCACGTGGTGAATGGTATAAATACCCAGGATTTCCTTTCAATAAAGAGAGAGACTTGATCAGACTCTCTTGTCTTGTCTCCATTCTTCATGTCTCTTGCCCCTCCATCCCCACTCTGTCTCTTGCTAGACCCTGCTGACTGACCCACGGACCGGAGCAGCAGCTCGGGCTGGGACATTTTGGCCTCCAACATGGGGCAGCTTGGACCATTACACCCGTGCCACTCGAGAAATGCTGACAGAATGAAGAATACATAGAGCAGTCAGGGTCTGAGTTTGCATTACGTACATGCCTCCACATGTGGTGGAAGTACTGGATGTTCTCAGATATAAAACAGTCTCTGTGGCAGAGGGGACACCATCCTGACATTAATCCTTGGCATCAGAGATGCTTTCCACACTAACTCAATCAAGCATGGCGTAAGATATCAAAGGCCTTCCATAGGAGTTTCCCAACCTTATTTTCATGGAACAGTTGGAGAATGTCTCTTATGACACAAGCTTTTTGTCAAATGTCTCAGAAGTACAGACCTATTGGGTTTCACAGCGGATCATGAGTAGAAGACCAGACGTGGTGGTTGTTGGTTTGTTTTGTTGTTGGTTTGCTTGTTTGTTTGGTTTAATAAATTTTGGCTCTTGAGTGAGACCACTTCAATTTCAACCCTTGCTCCTTCCTGCAGCAACTAAATGAAGGAATTCATTTCTTACAAGATACAAATAAGCTGTGGGGCAGTCTAAGAGGGACAATCAGGGGCAGGACACACGGCAGATGTCATGGCTGGAGACCAGTAATCACTGAGGTGAGTCGCCTAGAACACTCTGTTTCTCTAGAGAGGATCCCAGAAGGGGAACTATGGAGGAGAGAGGTGGCATGGGCTAGTACCAGGGAGTGGCCATCTAGACTAAGGCTGACATTTAAAACAGGGTGTCTCCGTTTTGTGATTATATGCTTGTGATCACACGAGTGATCAGTTGCAAGTCTACATGACAGAGATCCTATTCATACACCTCCCTGTCCTAATTCAGGAAGGAAGGAAGGAAGCATAATGTGCCCCAGTACAGGTGAACACATGAAGATTTCAGGACCAATCTACTGAAGCCTCACCTCATGGTTTCCTATATGATACATGAGGACTATGGTAGGGTGCTTGGTTAAGGCTTCTCTGTCCTTGAGCAGCTCATGCTTCCCACAGAAAGGAAAGATGTGGTTCTTAGCAATTTTCATCCCCCAAGGTACATGTAACCACATTCTGGACCCTTCTGCTAGGACCCCCGACCTTCAAGACTCCCATCCTCAGCTGTGGGCATCTACTTCAGGGACTAGGTAGGTCAGGGGGCATCCTAAATGCTTCCTAGAATCACCAGTCTTAACCATCCTACAATATCTATAGACACCGAGGCAGGAACAGAACCAGTACCATCCAAGTCTTGTCCCCTCTTCACTTTGCCAGGTGATGGAAGGAGGTTGACACACACATACCCCAGGCATTACCTGCTCTGGTGAGCTTGTCAGCCAGTTCCTTACGCACGGTCTTGGTGAGGTTGAAGTAGTCGTCATCTTCATCAATACTCTGCAGGAACAGTGGGATATGCTGGAAGACAATGGCATGCTGGCAGTGCTTCTGCTCTGCGATGCTCAGCTGTTGCTCTAGCCAGTGGTCCTGGGCCTGCTTCAGTGCAGGGCACCTGGAGGCATCGTACAAGAACTGGGAGTTGAGCACCAGGAACAGGACGCCCCCGACCCAGAAGCTGAAGTAGTCATCTCCCCATGTCTGGCAGAACTCCTCAACAGTCTCGGCTGTGGGGGCATTGCCCAAGTCATGGTTGCCACTGACCAGCACCAGTGGGATGTCCTGGTCGACGGCCTTCAGTACTTGCTGCAGGTCCCTGGTCTGTTCTTTCCGCCAGGGAGTTCCTACAAAGTGAAGGGTGATGTGAGAGGCTGCAGGCCATTTACCTATTCACTCACATGAAATGAAGACAGAACAATCGAGAATACTGTCACAGAAATGCCAAACAGATGCAGCACAGACCTGTCTATTCCTCAGAATTTAACACTTCTGCTCATTCCTGCAACCTGAGAAGTTCGCTGCTGCCTCAGGGTGCACCTGGCCATCCCTGCTCCATGTCTGTGAGGACCTAGTTTTGAACAAGGAGTGCACACAGGTATCTATGTGGCCTCACAGAATCCATCAGTACCTTTAGAGGGGAAAATCCCTGGATCAATGTGTCAAATGCCCTAGCACAGGAAGAGGTGGTCCGTGTCTCTTCAGCAGTTCAATGAGGCACATACAGGCTCTGCATCTTATTGCTCAGCACATCCTCCCTCCCACCCAGCATACAGGACTCAGAATGGAAATGATTATTTGGATAGAGAGTTGAAAAATGTGTGGGCAACTAGCACCCTTCTCCCTTTTCAGATTGCTGGCTTCTGCACTTCCTGTAATAATGTATTAAAGCCTTAATAAATAGATTTTGAAATGACCAATTCAATTCCACATCTGTTCTTCACAGCCTCTCTGTGCAAATTTATTCAACAAATATTTATTGAGCATCGACTATGTGTGAACCATCAATTTAGTGCCAGGAATAAGCATAAATCCGTTCCTCTAAACTTGGGAGTTGGACCACGTGTTAGGTAAATTACCAGCATGCACCCCACCTGGCTTGGGCATCATGAGGAGCTACTGAGAAAAGGAAAGCAGGATGAGGGTGTAACTCCAGTGACAGAGATGGCACAAGGATGATGGAAAGGAGCAGCCCACTTTCCTGGATAGACATGACAGGACCCGCAGCAAGGGGATTAAAGCCGACACTTCACATAGCTGGAGGAGCAGGTCTGAGTGTCCCTGACAAGTGATGGGTAACCCTGAGGTGATGCTGCTGTTCCCATTACCCCAGGTGGGATTATACATGAATCAAAATATCTGCATGTCACCAAAACTGCACACTTATATATCAGTTAGAAACAAACCTTAGAGAATGCCAAGAAAAGCCCTCATGAAGCAACTAAGCTAAGAAAGGCAGAGATGCAGAGACGAAGGAATTCAGACGTAAAGCAGCAAGCATGATGTGGGAACCAGGAGAACTCAGGACAGAAATCAGGAAACACAGAGTCACAGGCCTGCCAGCTGCACAGAGATTACTGTTGAAGGGGCTTCCCTCCCTCGATGCTCAGGAGGCTCCAGGTGAGCTCCTCATTCCTGGTGCTATGGTTTATACCGCCTAAGTGGATACCCTTTTCTCCTGGCCTGATGATGTTTACCAGATCTGTCTGTGTCTCTTTCTGTTCCTGCTTTCAGACCATTCACTGTTAGCTGCATTGTTACTGTGTCAGAATCTCAGTGTGTCACTGAAATGCTTACTTCATGTGTGGCCCTAATGAAATATATAAAAGAAAGAAATGCAGCTCTCCTGCGAAGACACTGTCTTAGTCAGTGTTTGGTTGCTGTGAAAGGCACCATGACCACAGCAACTCTTACAAAAGAAAGCATTTCATTGGGGCTGGCTTACCGTTTCAGAGGTTTACTTTATTATCATCATGGCAGGAAGCATGGTGGTAAGCAGCCACACATGGTGCTGGAGAGTGGCTGAGAGTTCTACATCCAGATTTGCAGCTAGAAGGCAGAGAGAGAGAGAGAGAGAGACACACACACACAGAGAGAGAGAGACAGAGAGAGAGAGAGACAGAGAGAGACACACACACAGAGAAAGAGAGAGAGAGAGAGAGAGAGAGAGAGAGAAAGAGAGAAAGAGAGAGAGAGAGAGGGGAGGGGCAGAGAGAGGGGGGGAGGGCGGGAGATGAAGGGAGGGAAGGAGGGAGGGAGATGTTGGGAGGGAGACTGGACATGGCTTGAGCTTTTCAAACCCCCAAAGCCCATCCCTAGAGACACACTTCCTCCAACATGGCTGCACCTTGTAATAGTGCTATTCCCCAGTGACCTATGAGCCTATGGGGGGCCATTCTTATCAAAACCACCATAGCTGCTCAACACACACTGGATTAAAAACAAAGCACAAAGAGTAGACTCTCACATAAAAGTGTTGAATGCTTCCAGATACAAACATGTACTATGGATAGCATGTCTCTAAAGATTCAAGGAGTCTGAGAAACAGATTCAAGGGGTTGGGAAAGTTTATGTATCATTTCTCCTTCCCTTCCCTTCCCTTCCCTTCCCTTCCCTTCCCTTCCCTTCCC